CCCCAAAACCCCAAAACCCCAAAACCCCAAAACCCCTAGGGATTGAGATAAGGTTGAAAATTTGGTATTATAGGTTTTTAGGGGTTGAGTTTGAGATGTATATGGAATTTTTATGTGCAGAAATTAGGCTCGGGTTCTTTTGATTTATCTTCTTTTGAAAGTTTATCTTTGAGTCTGACTAGGTCTTTGAGGTTCATTGTCATTAGAGGTCTCATACAGTTGAGCAAGGATGAGAAAATTGTCGGAATTTCATGTTCTTGCTGAGCTAACAATAATTTTACTCTATGTCTTTCTTTAGGTTCAGAGAATCAGGCAGGACAATTTTCTGTAATTACTGGCAATTTACAACTTTCAGAAAATGATTTGAAGATCTTCTCTCTACAATATACAAGAGGCCTGATAACTCTAAGATCTTTGGAGTCAATTGTATAATGGGCTTTCATTGTTCTCAAAGTTCCATTATTAAAGGCACTCATAACAAAACTCTCGGCTAAATCATCTAAATGTTGTCCCATTGCAATGACATTATACCCTTCTCTTCTAGCTCAGGTATATATCATTCCTCTTTTCATTCTTGATCAAAAGGCTCAGATACTGTTATTCTGCATTGATGTAGCAGCTCTTTCAATTAGATTATCTTCTTCATAAAAATATGGAACCCCTAATTTCTTCAAGTATCCTTTCAAAGGAGAAGGATCATATTCAACTGTCTTTGGATCTATGGTGACAGCTCCCAGCTTGAATCTAACAGGAGCTTTCTTTTGTAAATATCTTAAGATATTTAACAATGATAGAGAATCTTTCCCTCCACTCAGAGCAACTAGTATACCATCTCCTTCTCTGATCATATCGAAATCTTTGATGGCTTCACCTACAAGTTTCATTATTTCTTTGCTAGGTTCTATAATAGGAAGAATTTCTTCTTTTTGCTCTACCTCATCTTCATCCATCAAAGCCATTCCAGGAAGACAGTCTTCTTCTAGCCAATCATCTTCATCTTTGTCTTCCTTTTCAGGGGCTGATTGCTCCTTTATTTCTTCTTTCTGAGAAGGTTCCTTCTTAGTGTAATCAAGAGGTTTAAATGGGATTTCGCTGGCATATTCTATGTCTTCTGTAATATATGCCTCCAGATCTTCAAATTTCAGGTCTTTATGAGTGGCAATAATATTTTCGATATCTTGGAGTACCTCAGAAGGATAAATAAAGAAGACCAAATGCTGGTATTCCTCATCAACAATGTTTCTCTGATCAATGGCAGATTTTCCGTAAATATGTCTGTAGTTCAGAATCCTGGTGATAAGAGTCTCTTTGGCTTGCTTAAATACATCCTCTTGAGATGGTAACTGAGCTTCATCATTGATAAATGCGTTAGAGTTCTTATATTTAATCATTCCTGAAGTGTAGTCTACAAAATGAGCTCAAGTATCTTACCTATCTCTCCGATCCAGTTCCTTTCCTTATGATCTGTATCAGCATGTACGTAAAATTCAGCAAATTCCTTATCAAACGTGTAATCTGGAAGAAACATCCATCCATATTTTCCAACAAATTCAATGGCATCTAGGATGTAGTCAATGTCTTCTTGGCTCATAAAATATCCAAAATTCAGTCTTACATATCCCATTCTTAGCATTTCGTGGCCATGGCATAAGGCATCTTTATATTTCCTTGCGAGTGGGAGATCAATTCCAAGGAGCTGTTGCCCATAAACTGCTGCACAGGAGCAGCCTGTCCTGGTTTGGATTCCAAAAAGATCATTTAGAAGTTTCCCAACGAAATGGAAATGTAAGAATTTCCCTTGATGTCTCACCATAAAGGAATATATGGGCACTTTATCAAGCTCATTGTTTCCAAGTAAGACAATATTTTTCATCTGAGAAAATCTTTGATTAACATACTGGACGATTTCGTGTTCTTTATGTTCGATGAATTCAGGAGTCAATTGCTCTTTTAGTTGAAAAGAGAGACCAGCCCTGATAACTCCAATGATTGAGGGAGTTCCTGCTTCTTCTCTTTCTTCTACACCTCTGATGTACATATGAGATTCTTTATCAACGAAAAATACTATTCCTCCTCCAACCTGAATGGGCTTGTTATTACAAAGAAGCTTCTTCTTACAGACAAGAATTCCTGGGGTGTCAGGACCACCTACAAATTTATGAGGGGAGATAAATATGGCATCTTTGTATCAGAAATGAGCCTCTTCTTGAGAAACCCGACTAAACCTATCTGTTTTTCCATTTACATTAATGTCAACATAAGGAGCTGCAGCAGCATAATCAATAAAGCAGAGCCCTCCTGCTTTGTGCATCAGGTATGATATATAATCAACATCATTGAGAATTCCAGTGATGTTTGATCCTGCAGAGAAAGTTCCAATTTTGAGACCATTGTACGATTGATATTTACTAATTATGCCCTCTAGTTCTTTATAGTTAATCTCCCCTGTTTCCAAATCTAGGTTGACAAACTCAATGATGATATCCTTATCCTTCTCATACCAAGGAAGATAGTTGGAGTTATGCTCCATTACTGAAACGAAGACAACAGGAGGCTCTGTGAATTTAATTTGATGAGTCTCTTTATACTTTGCGTAACTCTTTTGATGGATTTCACTTTTCTCATGATCCTCATAGAAGCCTTGATTTGAAAAGGACATATTTCAAAGAGTGCAGTCCAGAGTTTTCCACCTGTTGACTTGTCAAAAGTTATCAGCACATCCTTCAGTATGATGCTCTACGCCATCCTTTTTGTACCTAATATCAAGGCTCTTAACAAGGTGATTGACTGCTCCTGTGGAGCCAGTCCCATTGAAAATGACAGCGTCTCTTTCATTTCCATTTACACACCTTTTAATAATATCCCTTGCTTCTTCTCTAGAGTAAATAGTCTGTTTGGCAGTCCTACTATTCAAAGTATGTGTGTTAGCATAAATAGGAAGAATCTGGTCCCGAATATAGTCCTCAATGAAGGAGAGGGACCTTCCAGAAGCTGTATAATCACAATAATGTAGAGGTTTCATTCCGTAAGGTGTCCTAATTTGGACATCCTTACCTATAACCCCATCTCTGATGTATTTGAGAAGCTTTTCTTTAGTTTCAAAAGTGTCCTGAAGAGGAACATCCTCTGGTCTTGCGTGAACTGACTCCATGCTCGTGTTTAATAATATCAATATAATCTATCCAATAAATTTACGCCCTTTTGGGGTTTTGGGGTTTTGGGGTTTTGGGGTTTTGGGG